ATATATCATCCCCAAGTTCATTAGTAAATAAATACTACAAATTGTTTATTGTCATCGTTCATAAGCATCGCTCATTTTTAATGTATACTACATTGTATTTTTTTTACTGAAGAATTCTTCAATTATGTTTGAAAAATTTTGAAGAAATATAATTCATTGTATTAAACTATGTAATTGAATTTTAAGTCTCCATCTCTATTAACTTAATATTTATTATTTGTTAATATTTGAAAGAAATAACTTTAAATTCAATGATTTTTTTAAAAAATTATCATTTGATATAAATTATCTATATCTACACCCAGACTTAATTTTGGTGACCATTTTATAGCCAAAAATATATATATATGAATAATACAGCAAATTCCACGTACGTGTGAGCGAGACTGATGTCTGCTGCGTATACGAGTGCTTATCTGTCCTAAATGTAAAAGAACACTACTCAGATCAGTATGCACCAGTCCTGATCGTCTCATTTCCTAGAAAGGAAGCTTAGTGTCCTGCACGAAGTCATAGCTCGAATCTGCATTTGTATTACACACAGCTATGAAATTGAAAATCCAGTAGCGCTCAGGAAGATATAAAACAATTTTAATTTGGCCTGTTTCTCCCTAGTTTTAGGCAATCTTAATTCAAAATAAACAAAGTGACGCGCCAGATTTCTTCTGTTAGCAGCAGTTACAAAATTTTTTCATTTTCTATTCATCCGATTGCGGAAATATGTCATGATTGTGCAGTAACCAAAGTTCCACACAAAACTCTCCTTCATTGAAAACTACACACTGGGCAGAACAGTAATACTGAATTGTTACGGATTGACAGAATTTGACGGTTATATGTTTAGAAAAATTGGCATTCAGATTTTTACTATAATTATCAATAATATTATTACAGAATTTATTTGTTCAAATGTTCAGACCAATTCAAAATTTGGCCTATATTAATTAAAATCATCGGATAGTATATTACCTTTCTTAGCAGTGAAGTATGTGAAATATCCAAAAAAGTATTATACCTATCTTAATTATTTTTAAATAAAACCATTAGATATTTAGAGTAAATATTATTTATTACACACAGTTCTTTTATGTACGATATTTACACAAGTTTTTAATTGTCACATTCAAAGTTGTTTTGCATTATTTATTAATAGTATTTCCAGTTGGCTTTGTTAGGCAAATTTTCTAAACAAGGCAATTTATTATTTGATATATATATAATATTTGTTACAATATCGAGACTAGCACACTCGCAGCATCAAGGAAAAAAGATATCACTGGCACACTTGATATAAGATTTTTCTTAAAATTGTTCTTTGAGACGACAAAGAGGCGCCTTTAGGAAATACTTTTGATACAATTCCATCTTCTATGTTAGTGAAGTCAAATTCGTTATATCTTGCCCAGTTAATACTGCAACTCGAAGATCACTCCAGAGATTGAAACGTAACTCGTACACCTAAGCAAATAAAATTAATTTACTTTTCATTCATACACCATGAGAGTGTAACTATTCAAAGAAATGCAAAACAATAATGAATATGTGACATTTGAAAATTAGACATTTTGAATACCAGGGTATTGCAAACAATGGATATTGGATATACAATGAACATATTACAAAACTTGTCCAATACCACACGAAATAATATTAATTACAATACTTTTAAACAAATAGAACAAGATAAATTGACATGTACAAAGTTAGTTATACTACATGGACTTTACGGATGTTTTAGACTATTTTGCATGTGTAAATGTTACACAAATGAAATAATCAATTACAATTAAGCCAACGAGATTCAAAATGAATTATAAATACCTCCACTGCTGTAGGGCGAAAACCCTAGTGATGCACTTGTCTAGCACCATTTTCTTAATATCATCTTCCAAATACTGAAAACCACAGTAGACATGACAAATAAAATAGCTTCACAATTCACTCACTTACAATGCACGACATTCTACACAATACAAAATCCTGAAAAAAATTCGATAAAAAGAGCACCTACTCTGCTTGCAAGCCAGCACGTAACGAAAAAACAAAACCGCCTACATGTGCAGCCTTTTGAATTGCATGAGCGTCACACGTTTATTCGGCTCACGTCGAGACCTTATGTAGATGGCGCAAAAAATCATTACCGCCGCCTTTTGACCGCCAAGTTTCCTAACCGATCGTATACTATAGAGGGCCCTTGCAACTCTCGATCCAAAACCGGACCACAAAAGCTCGAGAGTGCCCACTATTGGAGGCGCTAAGTGTCCCCGGATGCAGCTGAGGCTAGGCCGCCAACTTTTCCACATACAATTGCCTAATTTGTGAGAAATACGGAGACTATCTTCTAAATGTTCAATTATTCATAATATATACTATTGAAGAAAGCGCGATCATAGACGTTATCTTTTTGTAACATTATGGCCTGCTTGCTCGGACTCGCGACTCACGCAGCAGCTACGCACGTTTATACAAGTGCGCCAGAGAAACTTACTTATTTTGAAAGGTCAATAAAAACAAAAGTACTTCAGTGTATTGTTTTAATTTTTTTATCTGAGAATACAATATCCCAATTTTTTTTTCATGCAGTCTTGAAAATGACATCGATAAATGCCGACCTCCATTGCATACACTGATGAAGTCGATTTTTGAAATTCGTATCCACTCTTTGCAGCATATCAATCGGTATGTTGGCAATGGCGTCGCGAATGTTGTTCTGAGTGTGCTATGGTCCATGTCGATCGACATAACCAGGAATTTCAAATAACCCGCAAAAAGAACTTGCATGGAGTTCAAATCTGGAGAGCGTGCCGGCCATTGGAGTCGCCTCAGAAAGATGAGGCCGTTCGGGGAAATGTCGCACACAAATTCATTGTGTCTCGTGCTGTGTGTGCTGTGGCTCCATCTTGCTGAAACCACACGTTCCTAACGTTCATTTCTTCGAGTCTTTGGAAGAAAAAATTCCTCGATCATGTTCTGTAACGAGCTCCATTCACGGTAACTGCGCGTTCGTTTTCTTCAAAAAAAATAAGGACCAATTATTCCCATACGACATCGCACACCAGACAGTAACTCGCTCACAATTAAGTGGCTTCTGGTGAAGCTCACGCGGATTTACACCACACCAATAACGCATGTTTGCTTGTTGACGCAGCCGAAATGTGGAAGTGAGCCTCGTCACTGAAAAAAACGACCGCGTCTTCAGGCAGGTTGTCAATCAGCATTTCACATGCATTATTGACGGGCAACAAAATCGCGTCCAGTTAATTCTTGCACAACAGCCAGTTTGTAGGTGATGAATTGAAGGTCTTCATGCAGAATTCGTCGAACAGTGGTGTCAGAAATTCCAATAGCAGCTGCGTGGTTCTGAGCCGCGAACGTCGGAGAGAGCCACAACTGACTGCCTCACTCTTTCGATATTTTCCGTGTCTTTGATGGTCCGTTGAAGTCCTATTCTCGGTGTTTAGCGACACTTCCACACTCCCGAAATGAGTTAAACACGACAGAATCGAATTACGGCGATCGAGTCTGTGAGGAGGAATTCAAAGCGAGCGCGGAAGGCACGTGTCGTAGCAACAAATGAGCGACCATTAGAAAAGAAGCTCTCGACTGCGAAGGCCGCTGTTCTCTAGTTCCACAGCATAATGGCAATTGACTGAAGGAGAAAAAAACTTGGGAACTTCCCCCTCTAGATACGCCCCCTCTTGCCCTCTAACCACCAACTCACCGCGCGGGAATTTATTTCAAATAAGTAAGTTTCTCTCGCGCATCCTGTAGTCATCGTTGGCAGCAGTTCGTGTTTTAGTTCCTGTACAGAAGGTGATTGCAATAGAGCGCGCACCATAATGGTTCCCACCACGTGATATGGGAGTTTTAGAGCCCACTAAAGTAACGATTTACGTAGTCGCGCACTTGACGCACATTAGTTGCGCGTTGCGTCTAATTGGAGCTTAAATTCACTACAGTGACGTCCCTATGGGGGCGATCAAGCTCCCGATTAGATGCGTAAACGCATATTTCGTCAAGTGCATGGTTAAATACATCGTAGTATATTCCACTGTCTTTGCTTCCATCCAATCCAGAGCTTTTGCGTTGTCTCGTTGTCAACCATGAATTTTAGTGGACAAATGACTATCACCACGAGAACAATTGATAGTGCAACGTAAGTGGAAGTAACAACTGTTTCATTTGATGTAATTTTTAAATTTACATTTTGAAATCCTATACAAAATTTTTGATCCAGTTTACTACTTTGGATTTTTTCACCAAATTCTACAGCATTAATTATGACATCACATAATCTAACTTTCGAATTCAAAAATGAATCATTGATCATCATAATCTTTGATAATTATATTACTTACATTAATTATTACTACTATTATTTTGTCACTTGTGTTGCAAAGAACTTATTCATCTTATTCTTGTATTGTCTTAATCGGCATGTTTCTTATTAAAATTATAGTGTAATACTTATGTACAAATATTAATGTTAATGATATATGTTTATATGTATTGTAATGCATAATATAAATAAACAATGCAAAAATTATATTGTAAAATATAAGATATGCCATTGATAAAATTATGTAATGAGTTTACCATTTAATAAACAATTCTATGTCAAGAAGATAATTTTTTATCAATGTAAGTTCAGTTTACTTTACATTGGTGATAATACAGCTGTTTACAAGTCCTGATAAAGTCCAATTTTAGAACGTCTCTAAATTTACTGCCTATATGATAACAGTAATGAACACATTAAGGACATAAAACTGCTGCAAATTATTCATTAATTACACTGAATGTGATTTTATAAGAATTCATGTAATATTTTAAAATAAAAATTTGTGGGTATCTAATTTTTTTAAGGTCATAATTATGAGTATCTTAAATGGGGCAGGACAAAATAATATAATATATATATATATATATATATATATATATATATATATATATAATATATATATATATATACATATATATCTACATATATATATTATTATTTTTTTTTGTCCTGCCCCATTTGGATATATATATAAATTGGATATATAATATATATATATATATATATATATATATATATATATATATATATATATATATTATATATATATATATATTATATATATTTTCTAATAGTAAAAGTGTAGAATTGGTCTAATTTATACATTAAATAAAGTTAAGTCAGAAACTAGGAATGAAAGAAAAACATTAATTAAAATTTAATTACTGACAGATGTTTCAGTAATCACCTTCGTATTCTCCATTAAACAACAACAAATTCACGTAATGGACACCTTTAATATTACCAACATTGTGCACATATGAAATAAAGCATTACTCTTCAAAAAAATAAAAAAATCGAACACGTGCGCGGTGGAAAGAGGTGCATGTGGCATCAGTGTTTATCTGGTGTGTGAAGATGTTATTTTAATCGTAAGTGTGCTGAAAGAAAAACAAGAAATTAATGTGTTGAAAACATATGTAATCAACGTGAATGATAATTGAACACAAAATGAGTTGTCAGTGTAATATTTGCGGACAAGGGCTGTCGAAGTACAAGTGCCCGACGTGTTCTCTTCCTTAGTAAGCATTTTTTTCCATTTATTTTCATACTATAATTTACTAACAAACTGCGGCTGATTGTATTGAATTAGATGTACTTTTTTTAATGTGAAGGTGTTCAGGGAACTGTCTGAGAACAAAGCTTCACAATTTGACATTTTGTGAAATATTTATGGTTCATTAATCCACTAGCAAACTAGCGCTAATGCTGCCAGAGCACATATGTAGTGTCTCCTTTAGTGTTACACCATGTATCTCCATGTTGGGGAGAAATTTCATATTTGTTTAAGTATTGCCTCCTTTGACCCATTGTATTCCATGTCCATGGGTATAAGAGTAAAATATTATTAAATTATATCTTTTGTTCTTTTTTAATTTTTAATGCTCTTGACTGACAAGACACTTTTAAAAAAATGTGGAGTACATTTTTGTATTTTTACTTAGTAGTTTACTTTGATGATTCAAATTTTATCGGGTGATAGAAAAAAAAAATTACATATCTCTATAAACATGTCAATACAGTTTTCAAACATAGTTACCAAATTATTGTTAAACATATCAAAAATTTAGCTATTAAGTAGTAGGTTAAACCATAAAATCCTTACTGCTTAACTTGAATTCCCTTTCTTCATATTTATAATCCACAGCAGATTCTGTAGGTAGTAGCCAATAGTATATTCTTGTCAAACTCCATATGCTCTGCAGGGATTTACTGTCTAATTTACTCATTATCTGACTTCTTTGATATTTTGATTGGAACCTTTCCTGAAGGAAAAGCTGGAATGCCTAGGTGTACAAGATCGAGTTTACCAAGAACGAATGAAAGATAGATGAGGTTTCTTATGCATCTTGCACCCTCATATGTATCCTCTTCTGTATGAATTGTGTTTGTGGTACAGTTTGCTGAGAGAAAATGTAAATTTCTTGCTTTTGGTTTTATCTCCTCTGAGACAGTTATCTTCTTGTACAAGGGCTTACACCAGTTCTTGATATCAATAATATTGTATCCTGAGACTTCCTTTACCACAAATTTCCCAGGTTTTGCACTTTTAATAATTCTTCTACCTCAGTATTTCTTGGATACTAACTGCAATACTGTCATATCTTCTGTTTTTTGATTCCAAAGACCCTACTCGTGTTTTGTTAAAGTAGCCTCTGTCGCTGAAGAATGCTTCTTTAACAAAACTTACAATATTCACTCTTCTAGAATATCAATACTGCTAGCGGAAATTATGTTGTTTTAACATCAAAGCTCTAACCCTCTGTAATCCGAAAAATAGAAATATTAATTTTGTGACTGCTGATCCTTTAATGAATATCGATTCATATGTACAATATTTTTAAAATATGTTTTGCGATGCAGTTACTTATGTGAGCACCTGTGTTCCTAGCTGCATTATTAACATAAATAAATGAATCTACTAACTGGTTTGATATTTAATTTCAAACTTTCTGTTAAATGTTCATTTCTTCTTTTTTCTCTTTTAGTGTAACCTTACTGTTATTATTCCTTTGACTTCTTGATCAGAGGCTAATTCTCTAAACGCTATTTGAATCTCCTAATTAGAACTCCTCTACTCAAAAAATGAAAATCTCCACTTTAGTTAGCTTATGCAACCCCTTTGGCTGCATACGCTTCTGCTGGTGAAATCAGTGGCAAAGTGGCTCTTGGCTTTCAAGAACGACTCCTGTCTGCATCAATGCATTTACTTCATTTTTAGAAAACAAAATACACAAGTTTCCGTAAATGTACTGGTCTGAGAGTCACTAAAAACAATTATTTGCTTTGTTGTTCTTTTATGCTGTTTGATGAAACAAACATGTGGTCACATGTTTCACTGAGATTTTAAATTCTTAGGAAAACTGGTAAACTCATATTAATAGAAATAAGCATTATCTAGAGTTATCTAGTTTCTCACAAAAGTCTCATTTGAAAGTGTATATACAAGTAGTCTTCATACTAGAATATAGTTCTCATGCATGGAATATGAGCACTTACGTTTTCAGTTATTTGTTATTAATGTAAAGTGTATTTAATATAATAATATTATAGTAATCAAAATTGTTATATTTAAATTTCGAAATGTATGTTTTAAATTTACAGTTGTTCGTTGTCCTGTTGGAAAAATCACAAATCCAAAGAATGTGTGCCTCCTGCTACAAATGGATATATTGAAGAAGAAGAAATCTGTCCTAAAAAATATGAGTTCGAAACAGAAGATACCGTACCTGTAGAGAAATTGGCATTATTAGGTATGTTGGTAACTGTTAAGGTGTTAAAAAATATAGCAAAGGAAAATGTGACATTTTCATGTTATTTGTTGCAGAAAATGATGAAGCTCTTCGGCAAATTTTAGAAAATCCACATGTCAGAAACATATTGCTGAATGTTGACAGTGCAAGAGATCCTTCTAGAGCTATTCAGGAAGCAATGCTGGAGCCAATATTTGTTGAATTTGCTGACTGTTGTTTGAAAGTAGTTGAACCCCCTACTGAAGGTGATTGAAATTTTTTCTTTAATCCAGTTCATTTCTGATGAAATTTCCTCCATTTTACTGCTTCTTTATTACACTACTTTCATGATTGTATTACGGTCAATTGAATTTTTACAAGTGTATGAACAATATTTTCAATTTTTTATTTGTTGTTTATGTAATATCATTTAGTATGTCACATGATTAACAAGCCGGAGATTGACTATTGGGTTAGCAAATCATTGGAAATGAATCTGTTTTGAGAAAGATTTTACAGTGGATGAATGGGCACTGCAATTGTGCTTTTTGTTTTGATTAAGACTTTAATATAGTGAAATATCTTTAATATGTTAGATTGTGTTAAATATTGCATTTTGAACCTTTTAGATGAGTAACCTTTTGTTTTTGTAGATGTAAATATTAATTGCCAGTGATTTCATAATAAACATTGAAAAACCTGTCTTGTAGTTTTATGTGTGATTAATTATAAATTTTTCAAATTTTGTCCTCATTACAGTTATCAATGCTGGGCTTATTCATGCCTTATCTGTGATGGTACATAAGCACTCTGTCTTGTGTATAATTTTTATGATTTTCTGAAAAGATTTCCCCCTTCTTTTTTTCCCCATCAACTCATTTGAAGTTTAAATGATGCAAAGGTTGTGTGAAATACCTTCCACCAAACTTATACTTTTATTTTCCTGTGTCAGACAAGTCATTTGCAAAATACCACTCCTCCTCTAATATTAATATTAATAAATCTTGATACTATTTACAAACAATGTTATGGATATTATGAAGGGATAACTTCCTTTGCTCAATATTATTATTTCTTTCCTTGCCTGCTATCTCATAAATTTTCTTAATGTTAAAATATCCTATTAATTTCACTTAGAATTGTAATCGTGGGTTTCGACATACCCTGTTTCTCTCTTTACCTGTTGCATGTCGATGTGGAATTCTATACTGAATTACAATACCTGGAAGTTCTGTGGATTAAAACTAATTGGAGACTTGAAATAAAAAGCGATGTAAGTGTCATTTCTGTGAAATTTAAGTTTTCACCACAATAATGATACAGGAATATCCCTGTATAAATATATGCATAAATCCCTAAAGTATAGATATATGAGAGTAAAAGATGGAAAGCCCAGATGCATTCCTTTATAGTGTTGCGGGTGATTATAAATAGCAGGAGTTGTATGTGCCAATAGATTTAACATAAATCTCAACTAATTTTTCTGAAAAGTATGAAAACAACTCTTATATCCTTTTTTATTCAAGTCTTCAGTTATTGAATTATGGCAAGTACCATTATTTATCAGCCTTTTCTTTTCTCAAAGAAAATAAAATTTCACATTTATTCTGACATTCTTATGAAATTCTATTGAGCTCATGAATGAAGTGATTAATGTTTGTACAGAGGAAGAGTTAAAGTACTGTACGGTTTTCAATAACATTTGTAACCTTACTGTGATGACTCTGATGTCCTTGGGCTTGATGTAGTCCTTGGAATGTCCTCGATATCCCTATTATTGTGCTCTTGCCTACCATTAGAATACAAATGTTCCCGAAATATTCTCAACTATTTGATACTTCATAGGATTCTATAATTTTTATTAAATTAATTCATGGCCATGACTGGCCTTGGCTGTGCTTTGGATGAGACACCGCGTGAGAATCTTCAGCTGACTCATTAAACATTTTTTCCCATCTGCCTTGGGAGATACCCTGATTTAAATCCCTTAGGAGTCGATTTGAATTCAAATCCCAAGTTAAAATAACGAAAATTATAAATGCGAATAATACCTTCAACTTCGTGCTCTGCACAATGCCCAGCTATCAAAAATAATCATAAGTTACCTGCCTCAATATCATTTAACTAATATGCTAAAAATATTCTTACTGCACTGATTGGTTATGTATGTCAGCTCCGTAGATTTTGAAAGAGTGATTATTACTAAGCTGCAGATTTTTCTTATTTGCCTATTTTTTTCCTTCAATGGAAAATGCAATATTTTAGATTACTTATTCATTTTGAGGCATTAGGACCAAATTTTATAGTGCCTACAAATGCCCATTTCACTAATAAATGCCTATTTGTTACCAATTATCGTATTTATTGATCAAAATGCAATTAGCCTTAATCCAAAATTTAAAAAATTGTAGGTTTTTTGTTTTTATCCTGCAGATTGCAGAAAATTGCACAACTATCAATAAATCTACATTCTGCTGTACTGCTACCGTATTTCTGCCAGATATTTCATATTATGAAACATGTGCAAAATCACTGGTGGAAGTCAAGATATTTGTTCTTCAATTTTAATCAATTTTTTACTCATAAATGGTTCACAATATTTTCTTCAAATTTTCTCCTAAAACTGATTTAAAAATAGGTGCCTGTTTCATTTTTAGAGAACACTGTATTTTCGAAAATTGCAAAATGTTAACATTGCAAAACTACAATATTAAGTACAGAAGTTTTTTTTCTTAAATGTAGTTAAAAAATCATTAAAGAAGGCCATATATATATATATATATATATATATATATATATATATATATATATATATATATATATATATATAAAAAGAAAGTGGATTTTGTGGAATTTCTGCTTAAATTTCATGCAAATGATAAAAGAAGAAATTCTCGAAAACCACTACTAATGTTTGCTTGTATTGGTCTTTCACAGTTGAAACAAGGAACACTTAAAAGAATGGTGCATGTCTCATTTTTGTTGGACTACAGGTTTTTGAAAATTGCAAGTTTTGAAATATATTTCTAGATATAACAAGAGAATGTATGTGCTGTTGCAAACCACCAGGTACAATTTTGTGTAATGCATGGCAATTAAAACAATTCATACAATATTTTCACTTATGTTTAAATTGAATGTGAGAAAAAGATCATATTGCGCAATGACATATTGAGTATCAGCTTGCATTTAATGAAAAGCAGAAAGGTAGCTTCTGTGATTCAGCCTTTTTTGTCTGAATTGACCAACAATGAAAAAAAGCATTTCTAGGAGGATGTGTCAAAACAATGATGAAAGCTAAAATTCTGTGGAGGTATATGTAATATTTACTTCATAAGTTTCTACACAAGAAGATAATATAAAAATAAGAAACATATGTGACTTTTTAAATGCTTATTTTAAATTTTTCAATGCCTATTTTACAGTTTTAAAAGCCTATTTTGCCTACCTTTTTCTAGTTATTCGTGCCTATAAATCCGCAGCTCAACCCATTAATGCCCAGAATTATTGTATCGTTTTTTCTTTATGAAATTCTTATAACATATTGCTAATAACATTAATATAATGATTTTTGTCAATTTTCAAATTTTTAATGATTTTTTTGGGGTGGAAACCTGCCAGTGGACAGTCATAGAGACAAAAAGAATGAAAAACTAAATCATACATGTACTTCAATTTATTGACAGTGAAACAATCTACATTATTAGATACTTTTAGTACACCCTAATTATCACTGTCTATTATGATATATTTTGTGACACTTGGGATGTAGTGGAACTGAACACTTTTCGCACATGTATTTTGTGTGATTTCCACAGCTTTTGCACCTGGCATTTGGTTTGCCATCACCAACAATCCAATTATCTATACGTTCATACCTAATAGCTGTTTGGGCTTCTCCTTTTATCATGATTTTAGGACCAGGGCTTTTGGATGGGTTTCTGTATTTGCTCAGGATTTCCAGAACACATTGCTGATGAAACTGCAGCAGTGAGATTTGATTGTCAAAAGAAAAATATAATGTCCATGCATTTACAACAGCAGCATTGAGTCCCCAAGCAAAGAGTGGCCACCGCCATTTTTTGGACCTAATTCTGACCCTGAATGTTGTATGAGCATAAACTCCACCCATATATTTGTTGTAAATGGCAATCTGATTAGGCTGCGGAACAGCAATTTTTTCTTTTCTTTTAAGCACCATCATTTAGCTGAAGCTAATGGTTCAGTTTTCACATAATTACTGTTTGCATTGCCCCCTCCCCCTTTCTTCTGTAATATCAGCTTTGGCATCAGAGGCACCTAGCATGTCCTATTCTCTCGGATTGTTCCCGTTGCTGCAACTCCTGAATCTGCTAAATCAAAGCTTGTGAAGTTGTCAAAGACTACATGAATTTCTTTCTGTTTGTCTCATTTTTTTAATAGGGAGCAAACTACATTGAGCCCTTGTTCTTTTCCACTCATAGAAACATTGGTGTGTGTACCGCAGTACGGTTCAGCATGTAGGATATAGTCATCCGATGTACAGAGAGACCAGAGTTTATAACCGAAGTGCATAGGCTTACCTAAATACCCCTATAAACTGCTTTGTACTATGTCATCCATAGAAGGGAATTATAGTTTCATCAATACTAAAGAACTCTGTTGCCTCTCTAAATTTGAAAGCCTCAATCAAAATGTCAATCATTGGTCCTATCTTGTAATATCTGTCATTAGTCATTTGCATGTTGTCAGCAAAATGTAATCTTTGTGTAATATCATCGAACATTTCTTTGCATAGCAGAAGGTACTTGAATATTATGCATATCTGGAGATGTACTCCAGTATAATCTTTGATTAGGATGTTTGTTGTATCCCGACAATAGCAATATTGCAATGAATGTCAGTAGCTTCGCTCTAGAAATACACGCCATTGACAAATTGTTTCCTCTTCTTCTTCGACAGTTTCTACCCCTTAGAGTTTGCCGTATTCGATTTCCATAATTCTCGGTCCTCCCATTGACCCTCTTCATGGGAATTACCGCGAGACATTAGAACAAACAAAGGGTTAAAAAAGAATGTTGTTTATCGCCTCTTCTACTTTTATATATATATATTATATATATATATTATATATATATATAATAATATATATATATATATAGTATATTATGGAACAAGCTTTGAAACGTACAAGAAAATGTCTCAAGATGGGGTCGATTAAATGACAAGTGCATTACATTCTTTGCTTTTTTGGCAGGATGATCAGCGTAATGTATGGCATGGCAGATCGGGAAAGATATGAGACATGCTTCGCAAATTGAAAAAGAATACGAAAAATTGGGAGCTTAAAAATCAACCTTAAAAAGACAGGAATAATTAGTGCTAAGAGGAAGATGACTTTCTAGATATTAAGTGAGGACGAGATAGCGTAAGCGTTCGAAATTTAGAAGATCTTGGCGACTGTAATTTACTGAGCGATGGGGGGAAAAATTGATAAGAGTATACGGCTACGTAGACTCGAAAGGAGAATGTAATTCCAAAAGCTCTGCGATGCGGGCTTAGTATGGATTAGTGTTTTATGGCAGACACGAAAAGTCTACACAGTGATTCCACAGCTATGCGTGGAGAAAGTTATTTATACGTATTATTAGAGCCTAGGAATGTGCCGGTAACCTATGAGTACGCGGTTTCCTCCCGTAGAAGCACGAATACGGTCGGAGGTTTCCAAAGGCGTCGACGACCTTGTATAGAGAAGCATACTATAGCCAGATCACAAGACCGTGCAGTAAATAAGCCACCCGCACGGCGCCGATCATGTCCAGTTCGCGACTTCTGGCAAATGGAGCCACTGATGTGGGTCCCAACCACACACCATACCTATACACCCAGTAACAATTTAAAACTCTCCTGCGCATACTTGCCGTAATCCTACATAGACTGTCGTATATGTATGGCGGAAATGAGGACCAGTCGATGAAACCCATATAATCTATAAAGTTATATGACCAATTGTGACACAGCTATAGTATGAGGTCACCGAACGTTAGAAGATGATCTCTGATAGAAC